AAGCGCCGTGAGATATTCGGCGAGTCACATGAAGGGTGCGCTGCATCCTGCGAAGGGTTTTCGGCATCTTGTGCTTACTTCCTTGCGTACGGATGACGGCTGCGTATGACTGAATTTTGCTTTCACTTCCAGAGACAGTTGTAAGCACTGTGTAACTGCCTCGAGGGTGCTTGACAGTTTTAACACAACGTGGTGCGATCATCCCCCTTGCCCGTAATGAGGGTTCTCGACCCTGCACAACATGATCTACTCGACCACCATTATGGTTACCGCCAACAAAAAAAAACGGAGGAAAAAAATAAAACGGTAACCTGGTTCCCGAGTTCACGAAGTGAATTGGCTTGTTTTACAACGTCGTTGCCAAGCGACGAAAACCCAATCCCGATGGCAAACACCGGGGGGAGCAAACCAGGGGAGGGGAGAAAAGTACAAGGGGACTACACCGAGGAGAAACAATACTCGCCGCGAGGTGTTCAGCACACAGTCCACGTTTAGTCTAAAACACGAACAACGAAGTATCCAGCGGCAACCTGTGGATCGGTTTGGAACCGGGCGTTGAAACGACGACAACACGAAGCTTGACTCTAAACCAAACCCAGTAACAATGAAGACAGTCCCCCAAACCAACGGTGAAGCAACAAAGAAAGGTTGTGTCATCGAAGGACACCTCCAAGCAAGCGCAGAAGGACAAACAATCTAAACCACTCGATAAGCAAGCGGTGGTTCACCCACCAGTCGAGACCCCCACCTCTATGCTCATTGAAATCAATATTCAGCAAACACGGTTAGGATAAATTATTATTCCCACGCCACGGTTTTGCATTGACTGCCAGACTCCCCCGACAGAGGAATAGAGCTACTATACAACATATTGGAGAGATTCGAAACGAGTTGCGAGTTTTTATGCACCAAAAACTCTGACGAAGAAACGATCTCGCTACCCCCCCGCGGTCTTCTCTTGTTTGCCGCTGTCGCCGCCGCCGGCACCGCCGGCGCCGTTGCCGGCGCCGGTCATCACTTCGCACTTCCCGTCAGAGATGACGAACACGTGCCCCTGATGCTCGCGAGCCTCCATCCCCAGGTGAAGCGCCAGCTCCGCGGCGCTCCCGATAATCTCGGGAGCGTCGGCCTTCGAGTCCACGACGTACCAGGCCATGCCCTCCCCACCGATGCCTGACCGACGAATTGGGCAGCAATTTACAAAGGGAATCAATGTTCATTACAACTAATTGTAGCATGGTTTCCGTGCACGCCAATAGGACATCAGTTTTCGTTGTGTGTGATGTTGTTAATGTTTTCCACATATACGAACAGGTCGTGTTCTCTACCCACGAAAGCCTGTGCGCACGATTCCGAATTACTGTTGTCGGCGCAAGCCTGTGCGATGATCTCGAAGAGACTATATACTGGCGGCGACCCCGGCGAGGGGTGAATACGATGAGAGCAGCCGATGAGCTCATCGACTGCTTCTCGTCGTAGTCATCCCTCGTGCGGGTCGCCGCCGTTACAAACACGCCGCCACTGTCAGAGAACTCATATTTTTCCCTACCCTTCGACTCTTCGTTGTTTGATCAGGGGGGAGACCCTAACAGGGAATGTTTAGTTTGGTTTTGGTTTGGTTAGAGTTCTCAAGTTCTCGCCTTTCGCGACAACCCTCTACTATTTGTAATACCAATTTCGTGGCTCGTTCTTTATCAGACCTACACTAGTTTCTACCTCATACTCACTAACTGTTTACGTAGCACGACAAGCCCGTGTAGGCCCACCCATTGCTGCAACTCTACCCTTTTTGGCGTTTTTCTTGAGAAATGTAGTAATATGGATCCAGAAAGACTACCCGTTCCAGATATTGCTACACACACTCGTTTTCTCCCACCCACGGGCAGGGCGAAGGGCCGCGTCGGCTAGCTAAAGAGGGACAACGTCAGGTGCACAATACAGTGAAAAATGCTATCTGGTACAAATCACCGCTCGTTCCAGACAGACCCACTCGCCCTTGTAGGGGATGATGGCGTAGAAGTGGTGTGTGGTGTATAGCCCTCCGAGCAAGGATTTGCTCACGCGGTTGACAACGATTCCACGAACCCCCCCCAGGGAAGGGTCGAGATGCTCTAGGGACTTCGCCACGGCATTCGGTTCCTGGTTTGTGGTTGTCGCAAGCGTTCACAGAGGGGGGCGACATGAACGCGAGAGGTACGCGTTAGACTACAGGTGCCGCGCCTCCCACAGCGTTTTAGGGTCAAACATGGGAACTATATTCGCCCAGGACCGAAGGTAAACCCTTGCTTAATTACTCCTGCCAATACACCACGATGAACACACGTGCGTGCTCTGTCTCTCTCTCTCTCGTTCTCGCTCTCGGGTGGGGCAGCACTTGGGACCCCCAACAGGATAACCCCCCGCACACGTAATTCCCAGGATCGGATTGCCTACGCAAAGAATGTAAGAATGACGAAAAAGACCAGGCAGGGGGATTAGCCGATTCTACTCAATAATTTATCCAGAGCTTGCTTACTTAGAAGACAAAGCTGCGCAGACTACTGCGACACACTCAAAAACCACGAAAAGCACAGCAGTGGGGGAGCGTCAATACCGCCGGTTGACTAGCACCGGTGGCCCTGTATAGCGCCGGTGAAACTGCTGGGCACAGAAGTCATTCTGTACATTGAATAGCGCCGTCCCCTCCGAAAATAGCGCAAGTCGATGCGCCGGGCACACACCAGCGTTGCTGAGAGCCCTCCACTGTACTATTGGCAAGGTACGCAGTGGGGCACCTTGGGGTTGAAGACGGCGTGCAGGCTGACGTGGCACTTCTTCAGGTTGAGCGCCTCCAGCAAGCAGTTGATGTCGTAGTAGCCGACCTGCGGCACGACGGACTTGTAGGGGTTGACCCACATGCGCCCCATGCCGGATTCTTTCCGCATGGTGGCCTCGCGATTGAACCTGGAACACATATGTAGTAGTACGGTAGTTTTTTGTGTGTGCCCTGTCGCTTTTTGACGTCGGTGGCGATGCCGTATTATTCTGTCTTTTGTTAGTTCGCCCTCTCAGATAGATCAGAGCGTCACGGAGAACGACTAGGTTTGTAAGTTGACCCAACCGCGAGTAGGCGACAAGCCCCGATAACGTTTGTTTTCGAACGCACCACCAGGGGGAGGCGTAAACTAGTAAAAACAGTGTTGTCTGCCCCGAGTACGTCCTTCTTCGTGCCGAAGTTGTGCCGAGTAGTCGTTGTTTTCATCAGACACCGATAGACAAGGGGGTGAATTTCAAGATGACTTGATGTGGGCGTAGCAAACATTCACATTTTTTTCCCGACAGCACTTGACGGCGGAGTCATCCCGCGTGCAGCGAGTATCTGTCTTTGCCAGCCGTCATTTTCTTGCCTTCTTTTCGAGTTTTGCGGGTGTTGTAAGCTTCTGTTCTCTTTCGTTCAAGATCATATTTTTTGTTTCGCTCGCGACCTCGTTGAAACTTTGCTCGTGCCTACGGAAAAATGTGTTCTTGATCGCCCGGGAAGAATACGCAAGGAGAGGAAGTATCGTGGGCAGAGGTCCGAGCGATATTGTCATCTAGACCTCGATTGTATCACCACTCACTGCGAAAAGGAAGGGTGGTTCCGGAAAACCTTTCGCAAGAGGTTTCTTTTTCATTAGACCTTTCGGCCGCTTGTAAAGCCCTCTGGTTGTGGAGCAATCGAGCCACGGCAGTCGGTCATAGGAAGGGGTGCCGCCGGGCTCTTTATTTCGAAGCACAGGAATGACTCTAATCGTGTGCAAGATAGATTTGACTACGCACAGGTCACTGTAAGCACTTGGATTGGTGTGACAAGTACTTTGATATAGCTGCCTTCAATGATGGAGAAACGGTTTGCCGCAGATAGTCCTAGAGGTTGCGCAGCCAGTTGTATATATTTCCTCACAGCTCTTTGGCGATATCCTCCATCAGAGAAGCCGTAGCCCACGACTCCTGAAAAAGGTTGTTGAGCGTATGCACCGCGCAGTGCATGAGGTATTGTTTTTCGTGGAACATGTCGACAGATGACATCTCCTTGATAAGCGTACCCAAGTCTTCTTGCACCTCGACCTTGCGACCGGATAAAATTTTCACTCGGTGTCCAGCTTTCTGAGCCTCAGAGATGTGGCCCCTCGTGCGTTCTTAGCGGCCCGCTCTCCCCATCAAATGCATGCGCAGATAGATGGGGCCTGCCTTGCACTGTCACTCTTTGACGTACTTATATCATGCACAAAACCAAAGCTGTTCTCCCGATAGGGAACTCGCAACAATGGCCACGACCACCAAGGTCCTGTAACGAACCGATTAGATCACACGTTCTTGTTCTGTTCTTGCAAGAACGATGGCAGGCACTGTCTGTTTCGAGAGTCGTGGAGGTAGTAGAAACGTATGGAGTATATCCCTCTATCCCGTTCCAGCCTTACCACTCGACAACATATTTAATTTATGTAGACAGCACCGCATCCTACATACGGTCGCCTTTCGTTGCCTTTCGTTGATGGATTGCCGTCACTTCTTCTCTGGTCGAAAGGGGCACATAGAATATCCACCCTTGCATGACGCGCGCCCACCAAAACTGTTATTCCTATTTCCCGACATTATACAGTCAGGCTCTTTTCACGATAGCCTAAGATCGAGGGACTTGACGTCCAGATGTTGCCAATCAGGGCGAGCTACAGATCCAACCGAAAACCGGTTACGGTAAGTGTTACAATAGAATGGCACAATCGTTTGCTGTGTTGTACACGGTCAACTCTGGCTTGTCTTTTTTATCGGTATGGATCTGCTCAGAAGGTCTCTTCTGGTACCTCTTCTCACACCGCCGACCAGGGTGTCGGATGGGATCGTTCTGTACTTGGCGTATAGTTTTAGTGTAGACTAGACTAATTCAATGGAAAAAGAACAAGGGCGACGACGGACACTCTCTTCCTCTGGTGTGTGCATGGGGAGCGTATGTAGTACGTTTTCAGTTGTTTTTTACTCTTCTTCTTATTGCGTAGACATACAGCAGCGTAGAGAGCTTAGCTTGGACGTGTTTCGAACCAGAGGCTCCTGGACTGCTTTAGACTAGTTAGAATATAGACTAAACTTTAAGGCCGCCGTTCGCAGCGGCCATGTCTGCTCGCGTTTGTTTTCTGCCGGTCTACAGCTCGGTCGGTAATTTCTTCATGCTTCTGGACAAGGAAGGAAGGGACATGTTCACGGATTTGCTCTTTGCTTTGAAGAAGAGTGGTTTGGATGATGTATCGGAACGCTAAAATGCATGCGAACACAAACAACGGCAACAATCGCGGTACCCAACATTGACGGACGTCGATGAAAAATCGAGTGAAACCGCAAAAAACGGGTTTCCTTAAGGTCCGAAGCGTTCCTTCCCCGATGTAATACTCTGTGGAGCCCCCAACCGGGAGGCGACGGTTGAGTATTTTTTGCAGTTTGCCCAGGGCGACAGCGAGGGGGAGGAGCTGTGCTGTGGAACTAGGAGTGAGCGAGAGAGCGAACAGAGAGACACATCAGGATATATGGCAGAGGCCGCTAAGGTCCGAGTCGGCGTCAGGGTCAGGCCCCTGCTGCCGCGGGAGGTGGAGAAAGATACCCCTCAGGTCATCTCCCACCCTTCGGAGAAGCAGGTGCTGGTCGACAACGGCAATGGCAACGCGGCTCCGCACCGCTTCACCTACGACCACGTGTTCCCAGTGCACGCCAGCCAAAGGGACCTGTACGCGAGCACTGCGGCGCAGATGCTGCAGCCGTTCCTTGACGTGAGTGTCCTCTGTGTTGTTCTTTGTACGAAAAGAGAGACAGCCCGTGTTGTTCTTCCATGACATCAGTACTGCTGTATCAGCTTGCGCATCCAGCAAGGCCGCTGTAACCCCCCTCTTCACCCCGCGCCCATGTAGCGTTGTCCAATACAGCAGTATTCTATCTACGTGCTCTTGATGATTCTGGCTGGTTGTCTTGTTCGCTTTCATGTATGGCACATGCAGCACCTTTCGTTGGCCAATTCTCTGCCTTGCTGCTGTGTGTGATGGTGGATGACCTATGCATACATACGGCAGTGTATGATGCATGCACAAAGCTCTCCCTGCCAAACGAGCTGGCGTTGCAAACCGGCGGAGTTGGACCGAGCATCTGTGGATTTCCCGCGCAGATGTGTTTTACGCTTGCGTTTGTGTGCAGCGCTTCGTCTGAATAGTAGCTACTGCTGCTGCTTCTCTCTCTGGTGGCGCTGCGTGCGAAGAGTACATGCATCTCATGTTTTGCTCGGAGGGAGAGTCCGAGGTTAGCTTTCGAGTTTTGCCGCAGTGGCCTTTGTACAGTACAGCATCGCTGCACACTGCACACACACAGCTCTCATCTCACCGGTCATGCTGCACATAGAAACCGCAACAGCACCAGGGTGGGAGAGGAAATTGTTGTGATTAAACTGATATACGTCTCCGTAGTGACCCGCTGTACTTCAAGTATTTTCAATGAAGAATGTTGTGACAATGAAACCTCAAACCGTTCACCTGTCCACGCCCGCAATGCTACAATTTCCGCAAACCAAAATCGAAGAGAAACCTGTAGTGTCGCGAGACAACGCGTTGGCACGCGGGTAACTCTTATTGTTGTTGTACACATGTAGACTGCTGGTGGCCACGCTGCACAGGGATGTTCCACGCCCAGTTGACGTGACGGCACCCCGACCGATTGGCGTGTAGGTCGCACTTTTTTTTTTTTTGTGGGACTCCCTGAAGACAACACTACAAAGCTACAATAGCCCTTCGGAAAAGGCCATGCGTGACCTTGGTGGAACCCGAAAGCTTTCCGTCTCCGCTACTCGAAAAACCGGCATGCACAATGTACCCCGGGTCTGTTTGTGTGGAATCTAGGCTACAAGTACAGCTGTGGTTGTAATGCCCGCTCAGCGCTACGTTTTTCCTGCGGAGCAGCGGAGTATGATAACTCAGATATGCATACCCCAACCCCCCGCCGCGCGGCGTATACACGTCACCGTTAGCGCGCGCGGAGCGCGCTCTAGTGGCTTGGCACAGCAGTGTTCAAGACCTACCCATTGCAGTCCAACCAATCTTGGGGTGTGGGTTAGGGGTGGGATAGGCCTTGTTAGGCCTACAGTAGCGCCGTGGTGTAGCCTGAGGGCTGGAAGCCTGCTAGTGGCTTTGGGTTCGTGTAACGTACCTCCAACTACAGCCCAAAAAGACTGTTGAACTGGTTACCGCAAGCAAGTCGTTGGCGTACGTACGTCGGTCCCCGGGCGGGGCCACAGAGGCACGACATGACATGACCACTCCTTTCTGCGACTTTGTTTTCGGCCAGCAATAATGATCGTTCCCACTCTGGTTGGATAAGTGGAAACCATTACAAGGTATCCACGTTCATATCCGAATGGTTGTTCTACTCGAGCAAGGCTGTACACGACTGCTGGTTCGCCGGGCTTTGTCTGCCACAAGGACACGCGCACGTCAGGTTGACCAGCACGGATATTGGAAGGACTGAACGGAGACCGGGACGGCTTCTTAACGTGAAGACAAGAATAACAACAACAAGATGCCGCCCTGCATGTATGTTGTCACGGACACCAACGCGTGCTGCTTCTGCTGCTTCTGCTGCTTCTGCTGCTGCTGCTGCTGCTGCTGCTCGTCCGTCTTTTTCTGTTATGCGTGAACATCACATGTACGGCCTTACGATACCTCCGGCAGGGCTACAACGTCACCGTCCTAGCGTACGGCCAGACGGGGTCGGGGAAGACGTACACGATGGGTTCGGAGTGCGGCACCACCGACAAGTACGACGACGAACGGCGAGGCCTCATCCCCAGGTGCGCGCTCGACGCCTACTGGAAATTCATCAAAGCTTTTGTGATTAGCACCTGCTGGCATCACTCATCAAAACTCAGTGTATAGGCAAAAATGTTCCCTTTATAGCTTTCGTGATTAGCACCTGTTGGCATCACTCATCAAAACTCAGTGTATAGACAAAAATATTCCCTATATAGCTTTTGTGATTGGCACCTGTTGGCATCACTGATACATTCTAAAGGTAATGTTGTTAAAGTTGTCGTGCGTATAGAATACCCTTAATAGCTTTTGTGATTAGCACCTGCTGGCATCACTGATAAAAAATTCAGTGTACAAGTTAGGCAACAATATACCCTAAATAAACCCAGTGTCCAGCCGGTTTCCCTCCACTCGCTGCAAATACTTCAACACATCCTCTTCGACCGTGGTTTTATCTCGAACGGGTAGTCTCTCTGTGTTTTTACATATGTTCCCTGAAAAGAAATCAAAGCAGTCGTCCCCGTGTTTAAGGACACCAATGTGAGTTACGACAGGTGACGTAGGATACCACACCCCCTACACCGATCTGTGAAAGCTCGACTACTCCACGACGAAGATGATGCAAGATTCAAGGGTTAAGTTTTCGGAAATATCTCGACAAGATGGCTCCAACGACGCCGTTTTCAGAACCACCACTCTCTTTGTACTACTTCGAAGTACTATGGAATATTCGAGCTTTGAGAAGCGGTCCAGGGTGGGTGATATCTTGTGTCAGCTACGGTATGGTGGGCCCTCCCCGGATTGAAAGGACGCTCTTTCTTGCTTGTGAAATGAATTCGAGACGAGATGGTGCGGCTACTGTACAGCCCTAACTCCGTGTCATGCCCTGAGCTGCGGGCTGGAGACATGGATGCCCTTCCGCTCATGCACGGCTTCTCGAGCTTTTTGCCAAGCACTCAAGCTGTACATACCGTTAGCGCCCGCGGTTGAGAGCCTCTACTATCGTTCCTCCGAGGGTGGGGTTTGTAGTTCCCTGGGTTACGCGAAGAATGGCCCCGATAGATTACATGTTTGAGTGTTGTTATCCTACATGCAGCTTACAAATTGTGCCAAGCTCCAGACGTTCAATTTTTCGAGGCTGCATCAATTTCTTAGCCGCCACGTTCATCACTGTGGGTGCGCTTTGTATCGGTACACGATTTTCACTTATTGATGTGTACGATTCGTCTAGATTGAACGTGTTTTGTTGCTCACGGTTTGGTTGGGGCTCCTGTGCGACATGTTCACTCAACGCGGATGTCGCTGATGTGTGTTGCTTATGTGGAACTGGATGTGCTTTACTGCTCTCGCCGCACGACACGTACTCACGTTTTTTTTAAGTTTCCTGTACGACGCGTTCGTGAACCTCAACGTGGCTGTCGTTATTATGTGTTTCTTGCGTAAAACTTGTTTTCTCTTTGCTCTCGCCTTCCGGCGCGCGCTCACGTTTTTGTAAGGTTCCTGTACGACATGTTCATGAACTTGAACGCCGATGTCGCTCACCGACTGGAGGCTACGACGACGGCAAGCTTTCTGGAGATATACGGAGAGGACGTGTACGACCTGCTTAGCGACGGCCATGCCCCCGGCACCAAGCGCGCTTCTCTTCCGGCAAGTGTTGGCGGGGAGGGTTGTGATCCTATCGTCTGCGGAGGTGTTGTGTACACGTGACTGTTTTTTTTTTCTGTCATCATTGCTCGTCCTGCCATTGTCACAGTGTAGCTGTTTTTCTACAGCAGTCACGGTATTTGTTGTGTCGTCAGCCGTGGAAGTGCAGTAGCTGTGGTCTTCGCATGTGAGTGTTGCTGGCCTTTCTGCTACATATTTGTATTCTTTTGCCGCGGTGCGATGGTGTTGGTGGTGCTTGCAGTGCAGCGCATAGGGTGGGAAAAGTAAAGTATTCTGTGGATACCCAGACCCGTCTGGCGTCGTTAACGGCTACCTAGGCGGTACAAACCACCGCAAATGGTAGAAGCCCAGCTTAACAACACGTGTGCAACTATCACATAATCCACAACCAACGACCGCCAGCAGCAAAAACTACTCCAACAACAACAACGAAAACAACTGCTTGGCGAAACATCAGGTCCTGGAAGACAAGACGGGCGTGTTCGTGAACGGGCTCAGCCAGGTGCCGGTGCTGGGCTGGGAGGCCGCCCTCGACGTCCTGAGCCAGGGCGTGCTCAACAGGACCACCGCGTCCACCCTCATGAACACCGTCAGCAGTCGCTCTCACGCCGTGTTCACCATCACCTTGACCCAGACGCTCAAGGACGAGGCCGATCCCGAAGGGGAACCTCAGGTGCGGAACCTATTGTAGGACGGTCGGAACAGTATTGGGTAGGCTGCATAAGACGACACCCCCCCCCCGTGGACCGATTTCTTTGTTCTCGTTATCAATAGAAAAAGGCAAGAGATGAATATCTTCCACGGGTGTGACGGTGAAGAAGGTTGCGGCGTTGAAAGCGTCTCGTCGAGAGCTTTCCGAAAACGTAGAATATCCTTTAGTTTTTTTTATGAAGTCTTCGTTTTGGGGCTCCGTCTCTTTCGCTCGTTGCTCTAGTTGTCCGCGCTGTATTGGTTGTTTTCTACCAGGCAAAACGGCGACGGCACATGCTCGTCGCCGTGCCGAGCAAGTCGCGAGGCAGGAGGCTGTTCTTCTCTACCAATCCCCTCCTGCGCCCACATTGTGTTCTTGTCTTTGTCCGTCACCCCACATTCTTGTATTGTAGTGCCATCCCCATCAACACCCCCCCGCACACCCTCTCCCCTTGGGCGTCCGATCCTTGCCAAATACGACACTATTTGATAGGACCGCGTCCTTGGTTACCCCCATCACGAGACGGAAGCCTCGTAGCTGCACTTTCGAGTATCTCGCCTCACGCTATCCTTTAAACTCCTCACGATCCTTTGTAGAATCGAACCTATTATTACCGATTTGCTTGCGATCGCGTCCATGGTGACCACCATCACCAGAGAGGAGCCTCGCCAGAAACGGATAAAAAATGCGAAAGCCATGCGACCGCGTCCGTAATTGCCGCTGCCAATACCAGACGGTAATCTCTAAGCTTACACTTTTGTGGATCCCCGCGGGAGTTATCCCATCAACCCCCCACCCCCCGCCCTTGGTAAAAACTCCAACCAAATAAAATGCTAGAATGCATGCTACCGCGTCCGTGATTGCCTCTTCCGTCACCAGACCGTTACCTCGAAGCTTACCTTCGTGGATCTCGCCGGTAGCGAGAGGCTAGGCAGGACCGGTGCGGAGGGCCAGCGGAAGAGGGAGGGCATCCAGATCAATCAGGTTGGCTTTGTAGGATTCTTGTTTTTGCGTCTCTTTTTTTTCATTTACTTTCCAACTTATTGTGTGCCTTGCCTTGTTTTGTCTGTCTTTGTGTGCCTTTTATTGTTTATTTGTTTCTTGTGCATCGTCGTCGTCCGTACTTGTGTGTTGTGCGTGTGTTGCCTTGTTTTTTCTGTTTTCTTGTGTGCTCTTGCGCCGCTTTGCTCTATTCCTGCGCTTTACTTGTTGCCTTGGACAGCATTTTTTTGTGTGTGCTGACGGTATTCCTGCAACACAACCACACTATCTGTCTTTATGCCAGAGAGTAACGTAGACTTCCCCATGACGCTTGGTGCCGGGGTCCTAGGTTGTGGCCTTTGGAACCACTTTGTATTATATGCAGCCGCACTGATGCTGACGTCTTTTCATTGGTCAGCCGGTTGGCGCGGTCGATGCTATTCACAAACACGACGCCCACGTACACGCACAGGGTCTTCTTGCTCTGGGTAACGTCGTTAACGCCTTGGGAGACGATCGGTCTGACAAGAAGACCACACACGTGCCGTACCGACAGTCGAAGCTTACCAGGCTACTCCAGGTGGGTCGGCGTGTGATTGGGAGCACCACCGGCAGCATCGCGACATCATCATCCCTTATCCCTTGTTGTAGGATCGCTGACTCACACGTTTTTCTTTGCCCTCATGATTTTCACTTTGAAATAGTGTCCGGGGAGGGGGGCATGGGGTATACCACGTCCTCGTTCCCCCGGAAATGGAAGAATATCTTCCGTGTGCCCCCCTAATCTCAGGACATAGGAGTGGGATGCCGCAAGGGAAGGCGGTAATCGGAACGTGTCGACCCGCGAAGTGATAGCCGGGCGCTTAACTTGATCGAATTGATTCGATTTGCCAACATGTTTAGCCCCCCGTTCGTTTGTCGACGTGCACTACGAACACCAAAGGCATGCGGACGGTCGAAATCACCCGCAGCTTCTTTCAGAAAATGTGCAACAAAGAACGGCCACCCGTTGGAGATACAACGACAGATAGCCGAAGGGGACGTGTTGGAAGTATTCTCAGAGTGAGTGCGATAAAATCCTTCAGCATCGCATTATTGTCCTGTTGGCGTTTGCGTTTTGTGCGGTAGGACGCCCTCGGGGGCAACAGCCAGACCCTCTTCATCGCGTGCGTTAGCCCGGCGGCGGACTCGCTGAACGAGACGGTGGCGGCCCTGCACTACGCTAACCGCGCCCGCAACATCAAGAACCGCGTGGTGAGAGATGGAGAGAGATGGGAGATTTTGTGGACCACGTAGATATGAAAGACGCCTCTTTGCTATCGCCTAGCTCACCTCGCCCGTGACATCAACAACCGCCCTGAGATAGAGAGGTGCGAGCTATGCGCATGTACGGAAGTCGCTGTTTTATTTCGCCTAGGACGGGTTGTTTTTTGTTGTTGTCCCGTGCGTTCAGTACGAAGGGACCATAAGCTGCCGGGTTCGTTCGAATGTATGACAATTTGGCCAGGGCGTGATGAAGCTATGTGCAGTAGCTTGCGACGATGTTTTAGGCGTTTCGAAGGACGTCTTGACTCTCGTGAGTGCATGTGGTGGTGCTCGCAGTGGTTACATCCATGAGAAAACGCCGGATCCCACACACGAGTACGTGCGGAATGTCGAGAACTTTCCCTCGATGCTTTCTGTTTTTTGGGGGGAGATATGGACGTGCTGATTTACCGCTATTGTGGGCTACTTCATGGTGTTGCTATTTTTGCCACCCTGTGTTCTGCGAGAAAAAATTACGCCCTTCTTTTCCCCGCGCGGCGTGTGAGTACACATTCTAGGAGGACTAAGAAATGGTACTTTCAATAATCAAGAGAAAAACAATGGTCTTGCATGTTCGAATTGGCGTCGAAACAGGTCAAGAACACGGACGGAGCGAAAGAGGAGCTGAAGAGGCTCCGCAGTACAGCCGCCGCCCTCCAGCTGGAGCTTGTGTGGGAGCACTTCCGGCTAGGTGGAGGGGGGTGAGTTGATCCGTCCCGGCCGGGATGCTGCTGTATCGTTTCTTTCGCCGGCGGTACGGACTTGCTTTGGTAGATTTGGCTCCCGCTGTGTCGGGAGGTTCTCCGAAAAACGTTCTATGAGAAACGTTCTCCGATTTCCGAAGTATTTTCTCCGAAAAACACGATCTCCGCATAACTCTCTCCGAAAATGGAAGACGAGGAAGAAGGACTAAGGTCTTCCTTTTGGTTGTTTTTCGTCGCGAGGTCGAAACCCTTTTTTTACGGTAGTTTGCAAGTCCCTCCTGGAGAGTAGGTTTGTGTTCCCAGCATAGAACAAACCCACTGAAGACAATTCTACTGTGCGACGTTTCACGCAATTTCCTTTCCTCAAGTCCCTAAGGGATCGAGTCTCTGTCCCGACTATAAATCCCACGAAGGCAGCAGTTCTACGACACGACCGCGCAATCTCCTGACGCTATCTACTTTCTACGCAAAATCCTGGCGCCAGGCCAAATGCCCCCATGGCGGGAGCGGAAGAGGGGGGAATGGGGGGGGGTGACCCCGAGGCAACCGGCGGGGCCGCCGGGCTTGGGCTGAGCCCAGACGCACAGGCCGAGGAGGTTTTAGGGAGGGAGGAGGTGAAGGACTATCTCAAGGTGGTGAAGGTACGTTTCAGTTTTTTTTTTTTTTTTGCGCGTCTGTGGGTTGTTGGTCAGTTCGGTATGTAGTTGGACAGTGAGCTTTACGGTCCTTGCTAAGAATTGGCGGGGATGCTGTCGCTCCTGCTGTCGATGTCCGTGTTGGCGTCGGCGATGTTGCCGATTGGTGCTGCCGCCGGCGCTGCTGCTGCTGTCGTTGCCACCACAACTGAAGCTCCCTCATGCTACTGCGGCTGTTGTTGTTGTAGTTGTTGTTAGTGTCAGCTGCGTGTACAATGGCCTCGCCGCTGCTGCCGCCATGCTGCATACCATCGTGCTAAGCCCTAGGCCTGTTGTTCTTGTTGTTTTCAGCCGCATGTACTACGACTCCGCCTGCCATTGCTGCGGCCGCCATCCTATATCTCATGGTGGCAACTAGCCCTGCGCCTGTTATCGTTGATGCCAACGTCTCGCCGCCGTTTTGTTGCCATCGCCATCGCTGTCGCTGTCGCTGGTCCTCGCAGGCGAGAGTCGCTGACCTCGTCCGGAAGCGCCAGACCGCGGGGGTGCCCCTCCTGCTGGGACCGGGGCTCAGCACCACCGACCCCGATGGATCGAGCTCGGCCGCGGGGGACGCCAATACCACTGCTGCTGGTGCTGGTGCTGGTGCTGGGGCTGCTGCTGTCGTTTTTCGCAACAGTAGTAGTGCGACCCGTCGTGTGCTCGCTGACAGCGGTGGCAAGGGGGGGGACGGCGGAGTGCGCTCTGGCGGGGGTACCGACGATTCTGGCGGGGGGGTTGGTCATCTTGAGGGCGAAGAGGTGATGATGAACTAACCGGCTGTGGGGGGGAGGGCGTTGATTGCTCGGTGATTTGGATGCTTTTTTTTTCTTTTTTTTTTCGGGATGGTCATGGCGTTTGTGTATAGTGTAAGGCTGCGAGACTTAAGTAGGCACGCGCTTGCAGCTGAAGCACCACACCGCCCCTCGAGGGGGGGAATCCACTGTGCCTTGCAGAAACCTGAGACCAGCAAACATCCGCTTGGACAGATCATGACTTTGTTTCGCATGTAGGCCATGGATGGGCGGTGGCGGTATCGAAAGAGGGAGGGATAAACACACAGAAGAGTGAAACGCAAGTTATTGAATAATTTTTAAGATTGGTTGTATGCTCGAAGCAAAATATATTTATCAACTTTTGTGAAGCGGTTCCGGACGCAGGCCCGACGACAGACGAAGTCACACGATATACCCCTTGGTAGGTGTCCAACAGCACCTCAATATAGACACTAAGTAAACATTTTTTTGTTTTCCTGTGGCCCTTGGCTTCCGTTGTCCAGTTGGAGCACGATCCAGAGGAGGAGCTGGCGGTCTTGGACCAGCTTATCGAGTGGCAGAGGCAGACCGGGGAGTACGGGGACGCAGCCAAGTGGGTCGATCGATGATAGACAGTTTGTTTGATGCACACCTGTTGTTGTTGTTGTTGTTGTTGTTGTTGTTGTTGTTGTTGTTGTTGTTGTTGTTGTTGTTGCCAGTGTGCGGTGAGTACAGGCAGAAAGGAGGAGGATACAGCAGTGTCCTCACTGAGCTCGACCCAGCAAATCTACTGGCGGTGCCGTTTTGAACCTGACATGCTACATGCTGTTGTTGTTGGTGTTTCAACTGAATTTCTTGTATGCCCATGAACAAACAAGTCCGGGATAAATTATCCATGAACTCTTGCGCAGTGTTGTGGTTTTCACTTCTTTTTTTTTTTGCAGGAAGCAAAGGGCCTGAATGAATGAATTTTATTCATGGTGTTGAGTTTCCGCTTATTATTATTTATTTATTTTTTTGCAGGGAGGAAGAAAAGGGCCTGACTGAATTTCATTCATAGTGTTGAGTTCCCGCTTTTTTTATATATATACTTTTGCAGGGAGGAAGAGAAGCGCCTAGAAGAGACCGACTGCCAAATCAGGGAGAAGGAGTCCATGCTGCTAAAGGTCCGGGAGACGATCACCGGCTATCATCACATGAGGTAGGTTACATTATTTTTCTTGCTTCGTACAGCCGTTTCGTGTCCTTCCAGCAGCAGCCGTCGGTGTCTCTGCGAAACGTCGCAACAACTAGTTATTGCGTAGCCTCCCCCCGGCGTGCTGCGTCCCGGCTTTGGGATGCGAGGGCACTGGTCGAACGACTACGACATGCACGACTATGAGTACACCGCTCCCCCCCCCCCCCCCCCCCCCCCCCCCCCCCCCCCCCCCCCCCCCCCCCCCCCCCCCCCCCCCCCCCCCCCC